CAGCATACTAAATTGTAATCAAAATTGTCCGAGTTGTCTTTGTAAAAATCCGATTTCACGCTATTTTATGAGTTTTTATAAAAAAATCTGCATACAATTTTTTTTCCCAAAAAATATAAAAACCCCGCATTTTTTGTTTAAATCGGATCACAGGTGTAGCCCGCAGATGCACATCCACAATCTCATTGAAAACCAAGTGGGCCCAAATCGGATATTTCCTCACAAAACGCACGCTCAAAAAACGTTTGCGAAAACAATACTTTATCCATGTACCATGTATAGGGGGAAAATAAAAATATGTACTTTTTACACTGTTCAGGTGACGCAAATTACACAAGAGGATCAGAATTAATACGGAGTTAAGTACGTCCGCTGGTTAAAGAGTAGATAAGAAAGTGTCGTAGGCGTGTCCGAATAGAATTAAAGCGGCGAGTCTACATGTTATTATCATAAGCGCAACAATGGACGTAGTGATACTCAAGACATTGCATAATGTCTTAGATAGGTCAATCGGACGTGCATCTACGTATTAGTGACAATCTTGTACACGTGTTAGTATTAGCATATCGTAATTACTAATTAAACACGTTTTGGTTTTCGTTATGTAGTCGTGGGCAATGAATATGGATCGGTATGGATATTTTCTGCTGGTTTGTCATCTCTTGCACTTTACATTCATTTCAACCAAAATACTTTTACTTTGTTGGTTTACTCATAAGTTAACACTGATTTGCACAAATGTGAATAAAATCGATCCTGATTAATGATGTGGGGTTTCACGGCAGTTATATAACGGAGAAATTGCGATGGTTTGAGGGCTATTTCTTGGTGTCCAGACGGCGTAAATGTCCGTCGTTTCGGAGATATTTCAGTCCTCCATCATCAGGCCAACGTAGCCACAGGTTAGGGTATCACACGAGACAACGTCGTGTACGGAACAGTACGGAATGCCGGTGGCGTAAGTGGTGTGACTATACTTTATAAGTCCCTGATGACGGAGTATTGTGTAACGTTTCCGAAACGTCGGAATTATACATCACCTGGACATAAGATAACTGGGTAGCTGAGTGTAGTATGTTGTGCTCACTTGCTGATCAGAAGGTTGCCGGTTCAATCCTGTTTAGGTCAAAACCGTTTTAATGGGTAAAACTGGTTGATTGTCCTTTATCCTTGGCTTATAATAAATTATCCTAGCTGAAAACCAGCTGATCTTGGTCAGTAAGAAAACTGTTATAGGCCTACCATTCATTCAACTTAGGTTAGGTTAGGTTGTCTATATCTTCACCTTAAAATACCCACCCTGGTTTGCCGTAAACATCTAATCCAATCTTATCTTCACGGCAACACCAGGTTTCTTCGTACTAAGCACATAGTTCAATTTTTTCCGCTCATTTCGGACTGCTAGTTTGAAACGCAGTGGGTATATAATTTAAAAGCAATTTTAGCCTTTTAGTCTTAAAACATGCTACAAACATATGAGTCATACAGGCTTGTGCGTGAAACGTGCCAAGCAACTAAGCAAACGGTTAGCGGAGAAATTACAAAAATAAGATAAAATGTATGGTCTGATTTTTTTAAAGTCACGTTTTGATTTGTAAAATGAAAATTTAAAATCATTCGATTGGATGCTTTACTTTGAGTTGTTAAACAAATTGAATATTATGGTAGCCAAATAGACAATACAAATGTTTAGATAAAGCTGGTGAGCAATATTTCGTAATACACTGTAGTACTGTATTTACTTTACTTGTCTGGAAAATTGGTGTTTACCGGACGAGTAACGTACGCTATTTTTTGCCATTACTACTCTGAAGTAGTAACCCAACAATGTAAACATTTTCAAAATCCGTTGTATGGTCATACCGACCTAAGGACGTAACAATAACTAGGTACTCATACTCATGACTTCTGTGAGAGGTTATATGCGTTCTTTTGTAACCGCTCACTGCAATTGGTTTGACCGCTTATTAAAAAACTTGGTTTGTGATTTTATGTTTAGAATTTAGTTTGGCGTGAAAAAAAATTGAAATAATTACTGTAAAATGGTGTGAACATGATTTGAAAGATTAGGTTCACCTTTTAATTTTAAAGAGTAAGTTCGAGGTTTTTAGAACAAAAATATTTTTGACATTTCTGTGCGAAACAGAAGACCATTTAATTTGATAGTTTTGTTAATTTTATAACAAATTATTATTTACATTTACAAAATACCTAAGATGTTTGATGTATGTGTTACTAATAAATAGACTAATTATAATCAGCTGGTGTCCGGAAAAATTCAATAACGTACAGTTGTACGTAGTGAAATTACATTTAAAGGTACGTTTTGCCTGAAGCGACAGGTGCGACGGTCGCGCAGCGACCGTCGCCGAGCGGCAGTCGCGGGGTGGTGGACTGTTTTGCTTGAAGCGACAACTTCTTGTTCTTCCTGCCGCCACGGACACGTGCTGTCACTTGTCAGTGAACCTAACCGCAAAATTCCACACCTCTACACTACACGGTATGAGTGTACGTAAGAGAATAGTAAAATATCTCCTCTGTGAGGAGTTAGATGATGAAGCATTGGTGGACCAATTAACGTTGCCCAGAAAACGCAAACACGCTATGTTTAAAGCCAGATGTGACGAGGGATATTTCGAAAGCCTTACGAAAACCCACTTACGCAGTGACAATAAGAAGTTTGTGGAGTTTTTTAGGCTAGATATAGCCCAATTTGATTTTGTACTAAGCTTGATTGAAAGTGACATATCAACGTCGTCCAACAATTTCAATTTATACCCTATAACGCCGGAAGAGAAGCTTTGCATAACCTTAAGGTAATTGCCTAAGTTTAGTCCTAAACCAATTAAGGTAATTAATTACCTCTTAACTTAAGTACGTACTTACATTTTTGTATTATGTTGTTTAGGATTAGTTTGAAATGGTAAAAATTTATTATGTATTGTGTAATTTACAACATACAAAATGCCTAAAAAATTCCAAAACTATAAAACTATAATTAGTTAAGTTAAAATAACAACTACTGGTAATTAATGAAATATCTACTTTTGTTTTAACTTCCTTCCTAAAAACTTGATTGGTCGTACGAATCAGGGAACTTGAAATAAACAAAATAAAACCTTTTGTAAGCTATTTAATTGTATCTAATGAATAATTATATAACACAGTTGATTTAATATGATAATAAATATTTCAGTTAGATAAGGCATTAATCACAAACAATAGGAATGGGAAAATATTAAAATAAATAAAAACGTGTTTAACAAAGTTAATTTGGAATCTCGAATTTTCTTACGTTTGTACATAGCTATTTACAATCACACCGCCTTCGTTTTGCAACTCTTCTGTTGACGAATAAACATCTAAAGAGGTTGATCTAGGCTTTTAAACCAATTTTATCAATAACAATTTGTACGGAGCAACACTTTTTAAATCACTGAAACGAAAATGTAATTAGTCTACAAAGTCTTTAAAGTCTACAATCTAAATAATTTACTACTATAATAAAATAACTTGTAATATTATAACATAATAGAAACTAACCTGGTCTCCCGACTTCACCAGCTATTGCCAGCCAGATGTTGTCCTTTGCTCTTTGGTCCTTATAGGAGATATTTTTTAAATCGTAAAGCGCGGGATGTTTTGCCACTTCTTCTAACAAACGGTCGTCTTCCTCACCACTAAAATTTAACTTTATCCCAGACGTTGTCCGGGTAGCCGACGACGCCATATAGCAAAAATAAAAGCTCGTCAAACTTGTCAAAATGTAAAATCAATCACAACTATATTAAAACACTCAGAAAAACAAACAGAAAACACTATAAAAACAATCTGAAATGTAACTGTCGCTAAGCGACTGTCGCTCCTGACTGGTCCAGGAGCAGTACCCAGCGACTGCAGCTCGCGGCTCTAGCGACAGTAGCTCTAAGCAAAACAGGACTATGCAAAACCCCTTTGATCAGTGTCCCGCGACTGCCGCTCAGCGACGGTCGCTGCGCGACCGTCGCACCTGTCGCTTCAGGCAAAACGTACCTTAATTTAGCAGGTTGCAAATGGATGTTTCCAGACCAAATCCATCAATGAATAGTCCATAACATATAGAAGTGTGGCGGAAAATTTTGTTGTTATTCTAGTAAGCACATAATCAATCAGCTGATTCTATTGTTAAATGTCGCAATTTTATAGCTTAACTTAATTAACTTTACAACTATACACAAACTCCAATTGTTTCCAGATTCTTGGAGTGTGCGATTGACCTCCATCACACAACACATTTAGTTTGTACAATAAATAATATTTTCATCACTCTGTACAGACAGTTGCTATTTTAGATAACTGACTCAAAGAAAGTAATTGTATCCCAAGCTTTAATTTAGAGAATGGGAAAAACGATCAGATGATTTTTCGTTGCTCTAAATTTACTTTCTCTTGCTCTCGACCAGTTCTCCATTTGCCCACTACTCACGCTAGTGTTTGTTAACCATTTTCCCTATTATTAAAATCAGCTGTTTTTACTGTTTAACAATACAGATTTGAACAGAAATAAGCATAAGCTAATTTTGATGTAGTGCGTGTTTACTACATGAACATAACTAACTGTGAATTTGAACATCTAATTTTAAGTTGTTATTTAGGTTTTATAACCTTTTTGCTTTTATTTTTGTGCTAAAAATCATGCCATTTAGGATATTTAATACTTTGATTTTATTGAGGTATGTTATTCTGTATGTGAGTATACTGCGTCGTGATTTTCCGGTTGTTACTTCAATTATTCTCGTCTTAGGTTTTGATTCGTACGTGAAAAATTGCTGCTCCTGTGTTCGACTGTGCCTCACGTATGTAACTTGAGCGCGTACAGGAAAAATACCACTTTCGGTACTAGTAATGAAATTTACTATTAGTCTTTAGTCTAAGTTGAAAGTTGTAATATGTCATGTTTCCCACAGCTTCAATGTTATAATCTGTCTAAGAGTACAAATTATCTTTGTTCTTTATTTCAGGTGACAATAGAGATAAATGTAAAGGAAGATACTGACAACATAACGCTGAACAGCCGTGGGTTGGATTTGGACAGAGTTCTACTTTCCGATCAGGTATTGTGAATTTAATCGAGCTTAGTTCAAACTATCAAAGCATAGTTTATATTTAAAAATTATATTTCCATTTAGTTATTGTATAATTCATTCGAAAAAAAATTTTGAATGTAAAATATGCATGACACTACATATATTTGTAGCAAATTCAGCCATAATTTTTCTATCGATCCTTTGCCTGTTTGTAGCGGTTTAGTTATTTTCTAGTTATAATTGTTTATGTAAGAATCCATAAGCTATCTAATTTTGTGTTTCAATAATGAGTTTAGCAATGTTTAACTGGCTACAATAGAGCTAGTAGAAGTTAGCAAGCAGCCTTTCCCCTTAGGAAGAATAATTTTATACATTAATAATAATTGAGGTATCAATAATTGTATATGCACGGACAAAACATAAGTAGTTCATTACTCTATGGACAAACATACATAAACAAATTATTTAAATAAAGTTAATTATGTCATGTCATATAAAATATCAATGCATTTACACCTCAAATCCAGGGTATTTTGTATGTTGAAACCATGGTTCTTGAATAGCCAAAAACGCGTATTTAATATTTTCACGAAACTTATAATGGAGAATGAAAAACACTTTGAAATAGAGTAAACAACCGGGTTTGAAAATTGATTGAAGAACTTTGATCCAATTTAAGCTTTGGCTAACTCAAATAAACAATTTAATAGCACTATACGTTTACAAAGTCTGAAACACCACTACCGATGGAAAGTAAAACAAATTCCATTGTATTCGAGCTAATTTGAATGCCTTACTTATTGAGATATTAGTTTTTCAAGACTTTGATCTGTTCAAACTCACATTATTATTATTTATATAATTTCTTATCATAAAATCACCACAGGAATTAGTATAAGTGTAAAAAATATATTTCAATGTCCAGTGTTATCCATGTTAGCGTGTGTCTAGTGTGACGGGAGAGGAGAAAGGTTTGAGGAAGACAGACAGACAGACAGACGGACACCTTTCTCTGAGGTCGTGAAAGGTCTTGGTCATGTGACATGGTTAAACGGTCACGAGATGTATTTACATATCCAGAAGTAACGGTGGAAACTGGTTAGCGCGTTTACAACGGCGGGCATGCATTGAACAATAATGTAGTGATGTACAAAGATGGGTAGCTCTATCGTGACACCCTGTGTACAACCACAACTAAAGAATGCCCTGTACTATATATATGACAGTGTGGATTTGACACATTTACAAAAGGCCAAAACATGTATTTTAATTTAGCTGTTTCTGGTACTATTTGCCGAAACTGAAAAAAGTGTTTTATTGTTGTGAAAAGCGTGTTTAAAAATGCAATAGGTTCAAATATTTTTTTTGGACTAAAAATGAAAAAAAATTGAAAATTTTTTCACATCTAGGTATTCTAACAATTTGGAAATCGTTTCAAACAATTTAAAGTAATATATTGGAGTAGTAACTCTTTTACTAAATGATAATAATGAATCAAAAAGATTTGATCAATAACCAATAACGTTGGAGCGTGCATTGGACATCCAAATGTTTGGAAGGCAACGTCCAAAGAAAAAAAATTGAGATCTCCACCACCATGTTTAAAATTCAATATATCATTTCAAATTGTCTGATGGGATTTTTATTAAAATATTTCCTTCAGTTTGTCAGATTTATTCCCTATTTAAAAAACATTAGAATTCATGAGTTCCTAGGTTTACCTACAGGGAAGGAACAAGAGTATTTCTTTTACAAAATATTAAGTGTATAGTCTAAAATAAATAAATTTACCAAATTTTATCAAAAATATATTCATAAACATGCAAATCACAACAGTGTTACTCCCCCCCCCCTCACTAAGAATAACATGGAATTTTAAATAAACTGTTTTTTATTTACCTTGTAACCTTCAATTTTACAGCAACGCTTTGATATCTACAAACTAATTTGTTTATAGCTCTACATGATGATTTTAATGAAAATCGGGCACTTTTATGTTTTAAGGGTAAATATTTTAAAACAAAAATTTTTGAACAATTTCAAACTTTCTTCTTTTAGGTGTCCATTCCCAAAAATTGACCTTGCGGGAGCTCATTCAAGTGAATCCAGCCCTAAACGTTCATACCAAAATGAAAAAGAAAATCGGTCTTACCGTTGACTGTAAATTGAATTTACAGTCAACTGTCTTATGGTGCCACCTACAGTAATAGCTTCTTGCCTATAGGGAAGTTTGCTAAAATAAGACATGCCAAGAGATATGTTCTATTTTATTTACATGTTAGTGAAACGAATGAAAGCCTGACATGTTCAATAATCTGGATTCTTTAGAACTATTACCTTACACTTTTGGTTGATCAGCGTTTATATCTGAGCAATCCAAGGTGTAGTCTCTCCTCCCAGCAGACACCACCTTAGACTGAGGATTTGCATTTTATCTCTGTCCCATCTGGTGTGTAAAGTACAAATCATGAATAGCTCACTTGTCTGTTCCAATTGGGTTGGGGAAGTTAGAGAGTTCTTTGGGACAACCTCAAAAGACAGTATTAAAATTTTGAGTTTTTGGGTATTTTTCACAATTTTCTGGATTTTTAAACATGTACAGTGATTAAATGTAATACCTAATAGTTGCTTATGAAAACTTTGATATATAAATCTTTAGTTTGGCTTTCCCTTGTGGTAGTAATTCCCAGGCAATGTAGGCTGATGAAATTGTAGAGCTTTATAATTTCTGTTGCATTGTTACTGGGTGGAAATCATTTATAAAATTGACCACCTGGATTTTAATAGCTAAGTTTTCCTTGCTGAAATGTATTGTCTGAGTTGATCATGTACTATAGACCCAATGCTTTTCTGTAATGATTTTATTTCCCAGTTTCAAGAACTATGTAATGGTAGTATGCAAATAGATTACCTAGTTAGCTTGAGTTGTTTTTGTAAGTTATCTATGAAACTATGCACATTGCAGTATTGTATTCATTACATGCAAAGACAAAATACGGTGATCACTGCAAGACTTCTGAGGATGCCACACTTCTTGGAAACATTTAAACGTGCTTTAGTATAATTTAAACTGAGATCCAGCTTATTTAATCATATCAATGGTTCAATAGTTAAATCATACCAGGCTTATCCCAAGGATCTAATCAGTGTAAGCTTAGTAAATGTTTTGAATTTATATTATGTATACTTTGTGGATAGCTGATCAGAATTTGCTTTTAAATATTATAAGACTTACCGTCTTGAAGCAATCCAGTATTGCACTTAGTGTACAGCTGTTTCAGCAAGCCATCTTTAGCACTTCTTCATAGAGGTTATATTTTGTGGATTTTTAAAGCTTTATCTGTTATTTTCATTGTTTTGGCAGAGCTCGGGGAAGCAGCTGAATATATCCGGAGGTAATTCTAGTGGAGGACTTTTGACCTTCTTCCTGGACTCCAAGGTCAAACAAGGGGATGTCCTGCGACTATCTTTGTCCTTTCATGGACTCCTCAACACAGGACGCCAGCGAGGCTACTACCGAATACGTACCGGCTCAAACGACCACCAGTGAGAACAGTATTTGTTACAGCTTCTTAATGTAAAATCTTGGAGGGGATCAGGAATATCTTAGAGGTTCTTTGAGTTTCAATTATTATTAAGGATTTAAACCTTAAAAAACATTTATAGCTCTAAAGCACCAGGTGCTGAATACGATACAGTGTGATGGTGTACAAATGTGAGTGTTAAATTTTTAGAACTTGAGGTGCCAAAAAATAGCACAACATAACTGGTTATATGTCTTTTAAAATTTGTCAAAACTTAAATGGTCTTGGAACACAATTTGTCACTACTGTATTCACTTCGGCCCGCCTCAAATCGAGCCTGACAAATAGATAACTTATTTATATTAAAATAAACTTTAAATATTTCTGACCTGGCTGGCTTTTATTTTTGAAATCAACTAGAAATTAGATTATGTTTATAGATTTTTTTTTTCAATATACCTCAATCATAACTCCTCATACACCCTGGTCATGAAAATCATGAAATGATACTGCTTATCTGAGAGAGGTAGCTTAACCACAGTAATGTACAGTACAGAAGAAACATTCAATGGTATCTAGCACTGGTCGCTTCTCGTAATCTCTTCGCTCTCATGTACTATCATTGACTATATATAGTTAATGGTACTATACAACACTCACGGAAGACCCTTTGCCCTGTGCAATAGGAACTTCCCTGTGTTCACATTACTTAGTTGACCAGTTGGTGTGAACAGAGTTGAGCAGTAGCATGAGCATCAATTTCAAAATTCTTTTCCCAACTGATGTGAGCTAGGCTATGACCAGTAGAACTGACTTCCGTGAAACGGCTATAACCTATAAGCCACACACCCTATTGGTAATTAGCCAATGAGAAGGTCTAATGAAAAAGAAGGAGGGGTGACGATTCTTGGAGTTGTTGGACCTGGGAAGAAAACCAAAAGGAGATTACCGTGGGCTGCAAGGAAGTTCTGAGTGTGTGTGTCTTTGGGTGGGTGTGCTTCAAGGGACCTTTGTCAGTACGGTGTGTAAAATGATATCTTAATTTATAAAGATGTAAAAAAAGTCATAAAATTTGTGATTTCAACCTTAAATTTTCAACTTTTTCTTGTAACTTAACATTGTAATTTTTTCATAATTATTTTTGCTTATTTTCTCAAAGTTTTTATTTTGTGTTGCCATGTAACTTATCTTATTTTCTAAATTTTGTATTTGTTTTATTACACATTTTGTAACACCTGTAGCAGTATTATATCTCTTACACCTCTCTAGAACAGCTAAGCGAGAGTAACTTTATTTCAAGAGAGGCATGGGATTCGCAACCTATATTAGTTAGCTCTTCTGCATTGGATGGAAGACTAACATAACCAACTTCAACTACAACCATCTATGCGAGAATAAATCAATAATAACCTTTTACAAGCCTGATGTGCTGTAACATTGGAGCCAAGTTTAGAACTATAGCAGGGTCAGGCAATGAGAGCACCCCAATTTGACCAATGCTGTTAATTAAGTCCGGGCATTATCCAAGAGCTGTAATGTGTTGTCTCTCCAGCCAGGAGAGATCAGGCTTAATCAATGTTCAGGTCTGATCTGCAGCTCATGGGTCTGTCTGTGGCTGACCTTGGTGGGAGAGACCCACCCAAAATAGACATTGGGCTAAAATGCAAGTTGCTCCGATGTGTGAATCCTTGTGGGTTTCAACAGAAATCAGGCATTTTACAACATTTTGCTTAACCTTAATCCAATTGTGTCCACTGCAAACTATTTTCAAAATAATATAGGGATTATGTTTTGGACGAGATATTACAATAATAGGCATAATCAAATTGCAGGATAATCAATGGAGTTTAACGGTTTAAAGCACAATTCTACTACCCACCTTATGTTTATATTTAATTATTTTATGTCCACAGATGGATGTCGGGGACTGTTTTTGAGTATAATCATGCAAGAGAAGCGTTTCCTTGTTTTGATGAGCCGGAGTTCAAAGCCAAGTTCCGCATCAGTTTGACTCGTCATCGCAACTTTACCTCCCTGTCTAACATGCCGCTGCTGCATTCTGAGTTTCAGTGAGTTCTAGTTATCAAGTATTGCTATAAAATATATGTTTTGTAGCCGAAATATGAACAAAATTTATTTTTAGAATGAGTCAGATTGGTTGGTGGCGCTCAATGAAAAACACATCTTACAGTAAGCTATATGAGGTTAGTTTTGTTCAGGGCTCTAGGCAGGATTTTAAATTTTAGAATAAAAGGGGATAGCAGCTAGCTTACCTCAGAAGAAATGCAGGTAGACAATTAATAGAACAAACAGAAGAGACATAAAACACACAAGATTTCGTCTCCAGGAGGGACTTTGTCAAGTGTAGTGAAATAAGTTCACAAAATGCTTCAAATTATTTTTTTAACTATTTCAAACTCTTCAGACCATTTTGTGAACTGTCTTTCTCTTGCACTTTGTCTAAAGTAAGCTAGCTGCTATCCCCAATTATTCTACAATTCAAAACCCCTACAGTTTATGATGCCAACAGTTTGTTAGATGGTAACTGACATTTTTACTTGTAATTGTCAAAAAAACTCAATGCACCTACTCTGACTAAAATGTTCTATTATTACAAGATACTCTCTGAGTATTGTTCTTTCAGTTTCTTTTGCAAAGAGGGTAGATGTGTATTATAGGGTGTTTTTTTAACACAACCCAAACTGCAAGTACCATTTGACAATGCTGTTTAACGACAAAACAAACTCACATTTTTGTATCTCTGTACTCTTTATTTGATTGCCAATCATCTGATATGTATTGTTGTATAGTTATCTATGAGTTTCTAGTGTTATTGGGAATTTATTTTGAATAAGTCTCAGCTTGGTGCTTTTACAAGCTCTGTTTGAGCATGCAAAAAACATATTACATCTTATTTGCAATAAACTATCAATAACACTAAACCTCATGGATAACTAAAACGATGCAAATTTACTGATTGGCAATGAAGTTAGCGCCCTGCATATAAAATATCCTATTAACTTTTTACTTCCGCAAAACACATCACAAATACGTCCAGAGAACGTGATCCTAGTAGTAATATTTCCACTAGCTTATATTACAGTTGTATCAAAGTGTAATTCTAATTTAAAACATGTGAGAAAGGTAACAAACAAAATCAGACTAATCCCCCAACAGCACAATGGGTTTGCTGGGAACTTGTTCCTTGTCCATTGGCCCAAGTCCCCAAGCCTGGTTTAGACTCAGGGACCAAAGTCTGTAGGCTTGGTTTTGACTTGTTTTAGAGACCGAAGTTGGCAGTTGTTCAACTTGTTATGGGTTTGGCTCCCCAAGCCCAACCCAAGTCCCAACCCCAAACCTACAGGAACTCATGGGCACAAACCCACTCTAAGCTTGGAATGATGGATACAAAACGGGTCTGGTGGATTAAGCAGGCTCATTATGGACTTGTTCGGGACTTGGAGACCTAAGCCCAATATTAGTAGGCTCATATTGGACTTGGCTTAGACTCATATTGGAATTGGTTTTAGCACATTTTAGACTTGGGCAAACAAGCTCACACTGATAAATTAAACAGGCTCATTATGAACTTGGAGACCCAAGCCCGCTTTTAGTAGGCTCATATTGGACTTGGCCTAGACTCATATTGGAATTGGTTTTAGCACATTTTAGACTTGGGCTAACAAGCTCACACCTATAGGTACTCACTCAGAACTTGGTACGAAGTTTTATATACTTCAATTACTGTCATGATCAGAGATAATAATAATTATTATTATAATAGGCTATAGTAACAGTAATATAATTTATACCTATTTAACATATAAGCTGTTTCACACCATTCATTTGCTAGCCCACATTTTTTCTTATAATTATTTTTTTACCAAGAAAGATTTATGATAACATGAAGCCTATTTTATGAGTGATCTTGAAAAAATATTGGTTATATATGAGGTTTAGAAAGCAAGACATTCACATTTCAAGACAATTTATTAATATAATAAATACAATGCCCACTATCTTCCACTTCACCTTCAACTTCTTTTCTGAACCCATCAACTCCACCGCCTGCTTCAGAAGATCTATAAAAAATACAATTGCATTACAATTATTTGTATTATTAAAATTTATCATTTAAATCATTTTTCATTATTTTTATTTGTTATTATAATTATTTGATTATTTGGAATTTGTTGGTGTTGCAAACACAGGGTGTTAACTTAACGTTACCTTAGGTACCTTTGTTTTTAAAATTGTTATCAAACTTTTATTTCTTACTATTTTACTTTTATACGTAAACTAATGGTTTGGCCTGTTTTTATCTGTAGACTAGGTTAAGGCATTGACTATAATGGTTAAGGTTAAACACAAATTTTGGCACTGTTCTGTTGAGTTCAGCAGTAGACTATTAGAATATAGTATAGTGAGTGACGTTGTCGATTCAGTGAAGCGCTGAGTATGTCAAAGCCAAAGGTTAAAGCACAAAAGGTTTAGGCTATAAACAAAACTCTACGGGTTCTTGATGCAATTAAATTAATTGTTTGCTTAACTTAGCTTACTTATATCATCATAGACTAACCAACACAAGTATATTTTTTATCAATGGAGTTTAAATCTTACCTTTACAGGAATCCCTTAATTCTTCATTGCTTTGTCTTGGTATCAAAACCATAAAAAAAACTCACAACTAGTAACGAAACGAGTAACTCACAACACCAGAACTAGATAAGTGAGAACTGACAACTGAGAGTGAGGAAGTCTAAATCCAACAAAAATGGTGGTTCAGCACAAAGAAACAGGTTTTAGGAGCGTTCTGGGTAGAGGTGGAGGGAAAATTCTTTTGTCATATGACACTGCTCACTTTAGACTCACATGAACAAGCTTGTCGTGGGTCTGGTTAGGTGTTTAAATTGTGGACTTGGCCAACCAGGTTATATATGTAAATAAAACAAGTTTAGTTTTGGCGCATTCACACAAGTTCACTTAACCAAAGCTGTTTTAAATTTGTAGTGGGTTCCAAACTCCAAGTTTGTCGTACCAATTCAGAAATATGTAAAAACCAAGTTTGGTCCAAGCTCACGTGCTGTCTGGGTCAGAATATACTTCCCAAAGCCCATCCCATGAGCTCTAAAGGCTTCGGAGTAAAATATCAAAACAGGGCTTTGTCTCCATATTTTCTTGTTATAGTAGCTATATTTTTGTGAAATAATTCTACCTAATTTGGCATATTGGTTTATATTATGCATGATGGAAAATCAGATATACATGTTTAAGTAGTAGTGGAAATAGAATACTACAACACAGGTAAATAAATAATTTGATATATTCAAATGTATTCACGTAAAAGTATAATTGAAATCAAATATTTTTGAGGAGATTGGTAACATTAAAACATACCAGAACACACATAGCAATGCATTACCCAACTCCAATGACGCAAGATAAGGTATTGTGTAGAACTTTCTCCAGTTATCCTAATGTTCATCGTGACCATTATTGTGATTTGATGCCTATTTAAATAGTTTATAGCAAGTCCAAAACCATAAAGCTGAGCATTCAACCCTGACTGAACACTTACGGATTTTGTGAGCCTCATATTGCTTTTAAACAGCATGCTCTTCAGACATAATCATAAATATTAACAGATTGAACACTAAACCAAACTATAGCATCTAATCTTCAACAGCTTTCACAGTGTTTGTAATGTAAAACCATTTATGACTTATAAAAATATTTTATATTTAGTTGTAATCTGTTTATTGCATTCCCAGGTCTAAGTACTGATTTCATATAAAGAGTTGTAATTTTAACTGTAACATTATAGACAGGTAATTATCTAAAAAAATTCAAAAATTATTTAAATTTTTATGGTTAGTTGGATCTATTTCCTACAGATAAAGAAATTTTTATTACGATTTTGAAAATAGTTTGAGTACCTATTCAAATAAGCAAACCATGACATTCAATTTTGCTTATATTCATTCTGCGTGATCTGAAAGCAATGTTGGTGATGATTGCTCTGACAACATTCTTAGATTTAATGAGTTTAATTTTACAAAACCGAGATATAGTTTTTAGTGGAGAAGATTACCTATAAAAAAAGTTCTCCTCACCTAAAAGACAGGATATAACACCCTTTTCTTAAATGTTTCCTATAAAAGGTGGTCATACGTTATCAGGCATGGGCTTCTATCCAGAAGGTCACTGTATTATCACTTAGCTAAAAGCATTGTGGGTGATTGCTGGTGGGATCCGATTCAGGACCTTCATAACATCAGAAGCCCTGTGTTCCAAACACTAGACCAGTGCTGGATTTACCACTAGGCCAACTAGGCCGTGGCCTAGAGCCCCAAGCAAAAGGGGGCCGCAATGGATTGACGATAAACTTTTTTTCAGAATTTTTTAAAATTATCAATTTGCTGCGATTGTGGGTGACAATGATGATGTGCCGTGATATTCAAGATTTTGCCACGGTCGCGGGTGACGCTGATGATGTAGCCGTGATTGCAACACACGGGAGATATTCACGATTTTGCCTTGTTTGCGGGTATCGATGATAATGTCACCCTGATTATGACCAACGGGAGATATTTACAATTTTGCCGTTGTCACGTGTGTCAATGATGATGTCCCCATGATTGGAGCCCATAGGAGATATTCTCGATTTTGCCGCAGTCGGCGTGACACTGACAATGTAGCCATGATTGCAGCACAAGGAATATATTCACGATTTTGCCGTGGTCGCAGGTGTCGCTGATGATGTAGCCATGATTGTGGCCCACGGGAGATAATCACGATTTTGCCTTGGTGGCGGGTGACGATGATGATGTCCCCATGATTGTGGCTTCCGGGAGATGTTTCCAATTTTGCCGTTGTGTTACGTGTGTCGATGATGATGTCCCCATGATTGCAGCCCACCGGAGATGTTAACGGTGACGCTGATGATATCGCCGTGATTGCGGCTCACGGGAGGTGTTCACGGTTTTGCCGCGGTCGTGGGTGTCAATGATGATGTCTCCGTGATTGCAGCCCACGGGGATGTTCACAATTTATTTTCTGCAATCGCCAGAATTTCCCCCATAGGGGTAGGGACCGCTCGAGTAATTTGGCCTAGGGCCGCAGGTACCCTAAATCCGGCACTGCACTAGACCAACCACATTCCTCAAACACATTTAAAAATAGTCAGATTATATTGTCTATCAATCTTAATAAGTTGGCTTTCGCGCTTGGTGTCATAATAGTCCATCGTGGGTCTTGGCGGCGTATAATAGTCCATGGTGGGTCTTGGCGGCAACCGCGTCAATTGTAGTTTCTGCCAGATGTTTTGCCCTCAATGAGGATATCTTTTTAAAGTAAGGGTGCGATACCTAAAATCAACGTACATTTGACGACGCGGTCAACAACGAAAAACCACAAAGGAATCTTCTTCCTATTGATGTGATCCATTTTTAATGCAAAGTGAGAGTAAACAGCTTATATCGATTTACAATAATCCAGCTGTTTTCAATACAAACTATATAATTTAAAAACTTAAAACTTCTTAAAATTTTCCTGTAATCTACAGTTAATGTGTTTCAGAGATGAAGCAGGAGAGTGGGTCAAAGACCATTTTGAAAACTCACCAATCATGTCCAGTTATCTTGTGGCCTTCCATCTACACATCTTGGATCATAGAGACATTGCCACAGGTAGGAAACCATTCGTCACTTTCGGTGATATTACTATTTTGAATCTCAAATTTTGAGACTTCTTAACAGAGTAATTCTTATACAATCACAGGTTGATAAATATCACTTACTTTCTTTCACATTACACAATTCCTTAAAGTATAAGTATATAATTCAAGCCCTAAAAGATCACAGGACTGTCTTTAAAGTAGACACGTTCCACTTTATAAGATCCGCATTTCCTTTAACGTGCTTAATTAGTTAAAAGTTGGTAGAATGTGTTTGGTTTTTTTTTATCGAATTAAAAATTATTTTAAAAACAAATTCTGTAAAAATCTTTCATCTTTCTCTGTGTCATGGGTATCCGTTTTTAGTTTAGGGTTCAGGTTTTATTTAATATAATATATAATCATCTATATCAATTACAAATAATAAAGGATCCACTATTGATCTTGTGGCTCACCTAAACATCTGAGCTTAAAGCAACTTATCTTTAGCTTGGTTTTTCACTAGTGTAATTTCTCCTTAGCAACTTGTTCCAGCAAAAAGTTGCTGAAGACAATACAGTAGTGCTGAAAGAAGTCACAGTGTGCAATTTGAGAATCAAGCTACAATTTGTACAATTTTAAATTTCAATTAAGTATTTTGTAAGATTTGAGAAAACATAACGCACTATTGTGTTAGTTTGTATTTACAAATCTTGTGTTAACAAACTTTTTGATTTATATTATTTAGATGGGCGACGACTAAGTGTATGGGCTCCCCGGAAGCAGTTGAGGTGGGCAAATGTCACCTTGTCCATAGCACCAAAGGCTTTGGATTTCTTCACCAATTATACAAATATCAAGGACCCGATGCCTAAGATTGATTTAGTCTCTGTGCCAAGGTTCCAGGGTGCTCTTGAAAATTGGGGAGTGACTTCATTTATGTAAGATATATATTTATCATTACAGGATAGTTATATTTATTTATGGTTATAGCTGGGTGGCTGAGTGGATATACAGTAGTGCTCGCCTGGTAATCGTATCATAACTAACACAAGAAGACTTCTCATCCCATTATAAATTCTGAAATCTTTCTTTATGTTTGGTTCATCTTGATGACGTTGAGTGATAGTGTTGACAAATGTGTTTCCTTATTTTAGGATTAATTTTAATTTTATCATACTTTTACTAACTTACTTTTCTATGAAATGGCAA